AAAATATATTTACAGTGATAGAACCCAGAATAGCGGTTACCACTGAGAGGTGGGTGGCTGGGAAAGGACAATACACAGTCTTCTGGGGTGTAGGAAATGACCTATATTTTCATGTTGGTGGTGGTTACATAGATGAATATATATATAAAATTTGGATAATCTATACATTTAAAATTGTTCACTTTGTGTGTGTTATACCTCAATCTTAAAAAAAAAAAACAAGAGGATTGATTAAAAGTTTGAGAAGCAGTTACATTTCCAAATCTTTTCCCACTTTGCAACCAGGCAACTTCCATTCCCTAACACTGGCAGGAAACTAGAGGTTGATCCTGTAGAGACTATAAAATAGAGGGAATCTGGACTGGGACATACTGGCCACAATTTTGGGCAGGGAAGCTGTGCTGAAAACAGGGGTATAGAAGACCATCTCTGAAAATAACCCCAAACAATTGCACTCCTCCCTGTATGGGCATGCTGCTGCTCCCATCAAGAGGTCGACTCATGTTGACTCCATTGAATCTGCACTGGGCCTATCTTCAACCTATAGGATGCAGATAGTGACATCCTGGGACTTCCAAGCACTGGCATTGAGAAGCCCTGTCAGCCTTCACTATCTCCTTCTGAGAACTTCTTGCCATGCTGTGAGGAAGCCCAAATAGCCACATGGAGAGGTCGACATGGAACAGAGTCAGGCCCTTTGCCCAACAGCCCAGCTGAGCTCCCAGCATCCAATTGCCAGCCATGTGAGTGAGCCATCATGGAACTGGATCCTCCAGCTGGGTGGGCCTCCCCAGCTGATGTCATATAGAACAAACACAAGCTGTCTTTCTAAGCCTAGCTCAAACTGCAACATTGTGAGTAAATATATGATTGTTATTTTAAGCCACTAAGTTTTGCAGCACAACAATAGATAGCCAAAACAAAGGGGAAGTGACTATGAATACTAAATGCATAAGGACCCCTCCCATCCTTCTTCCTCCATTCTGCTTCCAGAATGCTGGCAGCCAGTCTTTCACCTTCTAGTAAGAAATGAAAGAGTCCTTCTCTACACAATTGGACTAGTTGTATCAGTTTTCTAATTGTGGCAAAACAAACCATCTCAGAACTTATTAGCTTAAAACATCAACATATCATGATTCTGTCTGTACGTTGGGCTGAGGTGGGCATTTCTTCCTCCGTATGTTCTTCCTTAGTGTTACTCACGTGGCTGCCTTCAGTTGAGAGCTGGGCTGGGGCTGGAACATTAAGATCCCCTTGCTCACATGTTTGGCAGTTGGTGCTGGCTGTTTACAGGGGGCACCTCAGTTCTTCTCACACAGCCTCTCATCCTCTAGGGCACACCATCTGTCCAGCAGCAAAGCCCAGACTTCCTTACGCAAAGACTGGCTTTCAAGAGGCTGAAAACAGAAGGTGCAGCTCCTCTTAAGCCTGGACCAGAAGACGTACAGTGTAACTCCAAAACCAGTCTGGATTCAAGTTAAGGAGAAATGGATTCCACTCCCTGATGGCAGCAGTGGCGCAGTCACGTTACAGCAGGGTGCCCTTTGGACACCAATCTAAGAGGAAAGAGCTAACGATACTGACATCGGGAGTTCCTCAAGAAGTAGGTCAGCCATATTATGTACAACAGAGTCCCCTTCCTACACAAATACACGCACACAGCTTTTGAGCATTTCAGTGTTCCCCTCTTAAATAGGAGCATTCAACTAAATTATAGGACATATGAAGAAAGCTTCTAATATAAAAGAGGGATGCAAACAAACAGTAAAAAGCAACTTGGAGAAAATAGATTATAGAGGGAAAAGGAAATATTCAGAGAGAGAGAGAGAAGATATTGCATTCACGAAAGAAGAACAGGATGTTCTCTAAGAAGGAACATTCAGTGAACTACTCAAAACTCTTGAAAACTAAGAAAATATCCTAGTAGAAACAAAAATCCTAATAGAAGCATTGGAAGATAATGTTGAATAAAAGTAGACAAAGAAATGAAAACTAAGAATGAAATTAGAGGACCAGTTCAGGATGACCAACTTCCAACTAACAGGATTTCCAGGAAGAAATAATAGAGAAAACAGAGAGGAGGACATTATCCAGGAAACAATTCAAGAAAACTTCCCCAAACTGATGTACTCGAATTGCCAGAAAAAAAATTGCTCTTAAAGTCCACTTCAATGGATAAGAACAATTCCACATCATCTTGAAATTTCATCACACCATGCACAAAACGAAGCTCCGACATGCTTCCAGAGAGAAAAAAATGGATATATATAAAAAAAATCAGGATTTATAATGACTTCAGACTTCTCAACAGCAATACTAGAATCTAAGAGACAGTAGAGAAATGCCTTCAAAATTTAAAGGGAGGGGGCCGGCCCGGTGGCGCAAGTGGTGAAGTGCACGCGCTCCACTGTGCCGGCCCAGGGTTCGCTGGTTCGGATCCCGGGCGCGCACCGACGCCCCGCTTGGCAAGCCATGCTGTGGCGGCGTCCCATATAAAGTGGAGGTAGATGAGCATGGGTGTTAGCCCACAGCCAGTCTTCCTCAGCAAAAAAAGAGGAGGATTGGCAGATGTTAGCTCAGGGCTGATCTTCCTCACACACACACACACACAAAATTTAAAGGGAAAATTATTTCCAACATAGGGTTCTATTTCTAGCCATACTATCAAGAAAGTGTAAGGGTAAAAGAATTACATTTTCCTACATTTAAGACCTCAAAAAATTGCATCGCATGCACCCTTTCTCAGAAGGCTCCTAGAAGATGTGTTCCACCAATAAAGAAAGAGACATGGGATCCAAACAGAACAGAGGGGAGAGAATCCCCCAAATGATGGTGGAGAGATTACTTAGATCTCTCAGACAGCCATGCACCAGGCAAAGAGCAACCAGTCCACAGCTGGTCAGAAGGCCAAGAAGAGGTTTCACAAAGACGAAATTGATAGAATGCATCATGTGCCTGAATATCTTAAGAGGGGAATTACACAATTGATGAGGGACCAGAGGTTGAATTAATGATCAGTACACAGAACACTAAGCAATAAAAAAGACATTAATTGTAGAGGAAACAAAAAGAAAAAGTAATTATAGTATACTATATGGCTCAGCTGTGCATAACATTTACACAGTCATTGTATATCTATATGCATATGTGTACACATAATATTTTATCTAGTGTTTCTAGCTCTTTGTGGTGAAAGAGGTAACAAAGTAGATTAGGACCTTACAATGCTGGAGCTAGAAGATGTGTCCTCTAGGGGCTACTATAGTTCAAAGGGAAAAAAGTCTAGACTGGAGAAGCTAGGGAAGCCTTCCCAGAGGATTTTTAAGTGTTCTGGGGTATCTTTGAGATTGGTTAATATTTTCCCTAATGATAAGCTCTCTGTAGCCAATCATAAAATATTTGAAAAATGGCAGAGGCTGGCCTCACAGTCGCTATCTCACTTCAGAAAACAAATCTGCATGTGTGTTTTCTGGAGGATCTCTTCTCAGCATGCCTCTCTCTGCACTGTATTTTGGGTATAGCCAGTCCCAAGCTCCAATCTTTGTCTTCCCGAGATGGTTGAATACAAATGCTCATGTTAATGAATTAAAACCTAACTGTGCACAGTGCAGGGTGATCAGAAGTTATGAAAATATTTGCAATGCCTGACAGGAGAGCTTGGCTAGCAGACAAAAAGTTGTTTCAAAATGTAAGGAAAATATGTAAAGTAAAGTAAGTAAAATATGTAAATATAAGAAAATAAGTAAAATATGACCATAAAAATAAAGAACAAAGAAAAGTTGGTGGAATTAGAATGTAGGCAAAACGTGGGAATTCTGAGAACATATAAATGTAAGTGATCATTAGATTCGCCTAGGAGCTTTGAAAAATACAGACTCCTGGGACCCATATTCTATAATTTAGATTCAATAGTGTAAGTTGAGCCCCCAAAATGTACATTTGTAAAAGGTTCCTGCAGTGCATACAAGAGCAGCCTTGCATGGAGTTGTGTCATGGATTCAGGTGGAAACGCACAGCATCGCCTGGAACAACTGTTTCTCCACTTATTGTTGGAAAAATTCTCAAGAGGAGATGACACCATCTTTTGATGAGTAGTCCCATGGGGGACGTGTTGATTTGGGAGTTTTTATTTTACACACTAGTGATGAGCTTTGTAGAGGATGAGTAACTCCCTTGCCCAGAATTTCTTTCTTTTTTGAGGGGGGAGGGCCATAGAACGTGTGGGAAGAGATATCTTATTTGGACACATTCCTTTATCGTAAAAAAAATAATATTTATTATGACATAACCACAATGGGCTTGTTTTTAAATGTTTTTGCTTTAGGCCAAGTGGAACCCCAAAATGTTGGGGGTGGTGGTGATAAGGAAGCATTCCGGTAGCTGTCCGTGGTGCTGAACGCGGGAGCCGGCTGCAGACTTTGACCTTGCGAGCAAGATGGGGCTCTCAGTCCGTCCCCCATTTTCCTTTCTGCTCTCACCTCCAGTTTCTTCTGTTTCCCAGTAGGAGCAGTATCGAGAGCGGCCCTTTACACTTTTGTCCTGGGCGGCAGATGACCTTGCGTTGGACTGCCCCGCTCCTTCTCCCTCTCCCTGGGCGGTGGCTGATGGGCGGGGCCCCCTCGGCGCGGGGAGGGGACGGGGGGTCAGGGGGCGGGGCCGGGACCCCATCACCCACTCCCGGGCCGGCTCCCCGCGTCCCCGCGTCGTCACGGCGGCGCCCTG